TACCCTGAATGCCAGGGCAGGTTTGCCTTCACTTACTGTACGGAGGCTCAGTCATTGGTACATGTTCATCTAAAGCCATGTTGGGTAAACTCCCATCTTATATCTGCTCTCTGATCACACAGAGAGTTGCAGGTAGCTATAAGATGGGAGTTTACCCAACATGGCTTTAGATGAACATGTACCAATGACTGAGCCTCCGTACAGTAAGTGAAGGCAAACCTGCCCTGGCATTCAGGGTACAGTGACTGATGAGTAAGTGCTTTACAGTTAGTAACAAATCTCAGTGCACTGTGATAGGCGGCATCTAACTTGTTCAGGCAGGTGCATTCATATAAATCAGGTCACCCTAGTCCAGCACAGGTAAAAAGGTCACAGTGACTAGCCTTCTCCTGGCCTCAAGTGAGAAACAGGACTTGTTTCTAAAAAAGAAACCTAGCTTCAACATCAGCTTTTTAAGCAGATTATTGACCTGAAGTTTAAAGGAAAGACAATCATCAAGCCAGACACCAAGGTATTTATAACAGGCAACCACTTCAAGTATCTTTCCTCTTGCAGTAACAATATCCAAAGCGGTCTCTGGTGTCTTTTTGGCTTTTGAAAATAGCACTACCTTAGTTTTATCAACATTTAAAATAAGCTTAAGCTCAGAGAGCTGAGTCTGAATAATATTAAAAACAGCCTGCAATTTAACAACAGCCTCCTTAATGGAGGGACCTGCTCAGTACATCACGGTATCGTCCGCATACAAATTTAAAGTTGCTCCATCCACATTTTGACCTAAACTGTTGATATAGATGGAGAATAAAAGTGGACCTAAAACAGAAACTTGTGGTACACCATTTGTAATGTTTAACCACTCAGAAGTGAGCCCATCAAATTGAACACATTGGGACCTTTCAGAGAGGTAGTTAACCAACCACCCCACTGCATGGCTGGATATGCCAATACTGGCCAGCCTATGCTTCAAGATATGGTGATCGACGGTGTTGAACGCTTTGGAAAGATCAATAAACAGAGCTGCACAACTCAGTAAAATAAAATCTGCAGCTATCTTTAAAAATAAAGGTTCTACGTTGTCCGGACCAGCCGGTTTCTTAGGATCTAACTTGGTTAAGGCTTCATGAACAACATCAATAGTAAAAGGAGAAAAACTGAATGGGTTTTCCAGACCAACCTTTGATTGAAAATCATAGACAATCAGGGCGCCATGTTCTCCGGTGAGAGTAACATCAATCACCTTTTTTTGCTAAATATATGTGCAAGGTGCAACTCACATTTTCTACAAAATCATGATATACTTTTCCCTTTTTCCTTGATTTCCCCCCTAGACTGTCACTCTACTTTTAATGATAAATTACACGCTATGCAGATCAAATCTAGACCTTTAGAACTGGAGTATAGCCATTGCCAAATTACCATCTGCTGCCAAAGGTTGGTGCACAAGAAATTCCTTTTATATAAGTACACAATGAAAGCACTTTTACTAAAAAAAAGATAATGTACCTCATCCACAGCCCCTTTTAGCAGGGCCACTCGTCAAATAGAAACAAAGATGGAATGAGTTTCCATTTCCTCTGACTCGTGTGTGTCATATGCAGAACCCAGGGGTCCAACGTGGCTTCTAAAAGTGTCTTAATCACTGTTTTAAAGGCCAAATCAAGATGAAAAGTCCTCAGCCGTTAGAAGTTGACGAGGGAAAAGTGAACCAAAGAGATGCCTGCCTCTAAATTACGTTTACTGTCATATTTAAACGAGGAGTCTTTTTTTTTTTCAGAGGAGAAAGTGGAGCTTTGAAATTGTGTGTGTGTGTGTGTGTGTGTGTGTGTGTGTGTGTGTGTGTGTGTGTGTGTGTGTGTGTGTGTGTGTGTGTGTGTGTGTGTGTGTGTGTGTGTGTGTGTGTGTGTGTGTGTGTGTGTGNNNNTAGAGAACCTTTTTTACCCCCTTTTCAGTCCCTGCTAGAGAGCAGGGACTTTCATGGGAGAAAAGGTTCCTGTGTCTGATTGGCTGGGCGGAATGCAAACCACGCCCTGTCAAACTCCCAAAAACTTTTGTGAATCCGCCATTTTATTATCCTCGCATTGCATTATTAGCATTAGCATTAGCCCAGCGCAGAAACGCAGAGAGACTAACTTATGACAACACAAAATAAAACATGGGAGCGGTGGAGATGAGGAGGTGTCGGCATTCTGGCCGTTTACTTGGAAGGCTTCAGTAGAAGCTGCTGGGAGTCCCAGCAGCTTCTACTGAAGCCAGTCCCCAACTCAGGGGACTTCCGGCCGGGGATTTTGGGCGGCAGTATACGCCGTGAAGTTGTTTGCGGCCTGCCAGTAAACCCAAAGCAGAAGAAGAAGAAGTGACGTCAGCGGCTTCATTTGCCTAATCCACCCCCAGGAACTAATTTCCGGTGTGAACACGATCTGTACTTAGTTCATGAGAACTAAAGAGTTCTCAGGAACCTTTGTGGGAAAAGTACTTGTTGTGAACGCGCCTATAGAAACTCCTGGAGGGAATTTCCACCAATTTGGCACACCTTGACTCCAGGAGGAACTGATTAGATTTAGGTGGTCTAAGGTCAATGTCACTGTGAGCTTAGAGTCTAAGCTCACAGTGACATTGGTTACCATGAGAAGTTTAAATACCCAGTTTGATCCCTGATCTTAAATGCTTTAGTTCCTTTATTTCCTGCAATATCTTCGACTAGAATGGCTCTAGCCTCCATTTTTTGGAATCCCGCTTCAGGGATTTGCTCCCAATCAGCAGTGGTGGATGAAGTATTGAGATTAAGTCAATATAAATACTTCATTGCAAGTCCAAGTCACAAGTTCAAAATGTTAATCAACTACAAGAATGAAAGTCTTATCAGAAAAATCTAGTTAAAGTATGAATAGTAATATATTTTGTTATTGTAATATAGTCCCCAATGATTCCATACTGTAAACAGCATTGTATTGTATTCACCAAATTGTAGATATTGTATTTACTTCTGGGTAGATTAATCACTTATTGCTAACCATGTCATATGTTTCTTTTATTAAATATCTTCAGATGAAAAGTAAATAGTAAAACTTGGTGTCAAACAAATGCAGTGGAGTAAAAACTGTAATGTCCCCCTCCAAAATGTTGTGGAGGATAACCAGGTTAATACAACAGGAAATGTAAAAACAAGGGCTGAACTCATTTTTCAATGCATTCATACTCTGTTCCGTCATATATTCCTATTATGCAGGAAAACACAATAATGGCCTTTAAAGGACTAAAAATGAACGTAACCGGTGTGTAAGTACTTCTGGTCCGCTCGCTTGTTGTGTCCTTCCTAATGCAAGGTGGAGAGGCTCTTCACTGTCTCCAACCCGCCGGCTCTGCAATTAAAATGCCCATTATGTATTTAAAGACTCAAGATAATGGTGTGTCAGGTGTGCATGTGTGTGAGGAAGGAGTGATAGAGTAGTGCTGTGTCGGCCCATGCTTTCATGGGTGTGTGTGTGTGTGTTCCATTAGAGGACATGAGAGTGGAAGAATCTAGATGGGTCATTGTTAATTCATGCTCTCGTTGAGGGATTCACAAAAAGGGCGGCCAGGTCACACACCTACAAGATACAGTGTGTGTGTGTGTGTGTGTGTGTGTGTGTGTGTGTGTGTACGTACTACTTCGTATAGCTATACTATTAGTACGTAAGTTATACGATGGTGTGTGTGTGTGTGTGTGTGTGTGTGTGTGTGTGTGTGTGTGTGTGTGTGTGTGTGTGTGTGTGTGTGTGTGTGTGTACGTGTGTGTGTGTGTGTGTGTGTAGTGTGTGTGTGTGTGTGTGTGTGTGTGTGTGTATGTGTGTGTGTGTGTGTGTGTGTGTGGAGGTGCGTGCAGTGTTTTAACTCAAGAACCCACCTCGACACATCTCTCTGTCTCTGCTTCTCTTCTAGATCCACATCATTGACTTTGATGATGAGAATAACATCATTAATAAGAATGTCCTTCTGCACCAAGCTGGGGAGATATGGCACATTGGAGCCAGTCCTGCCGATAAGGCTGTGCTTACCACCTGCTATAACAAAAGTGAGTCCTGCTGTTTTCCTTCTGTCTCCGGCTCCGTTCACTGCCTCTTTAAGCATCTAGTCACTCTGTTTCCTTTTTCTGTTTTTCTGTTGTTGTTATTTTACATAAACCCTTCCTTTCTGTTTCCGTCTAATGACCTCATGCAGTTAAGTTGAGAATCATGGTATGTCGTTGGTCTTTAACAGATGATCGATAACAGACAGTCGCTCTTCACAGGTTCGACAGCGGCTACCGCTACTGTGTAAGAAGTCATGTCTGATAGAATCAATACTAATGTGTGGACATGATGAACCTCATGAGGGATAAGAGCAGCGGCTGCACAATCACTGTCAGACAGGAGAACATCTTTAAAAAGGTCACATGCACATCATCTTTGCAATATGTAGGGTTTTATTTTAGTTTGAAAGCTTCACAGGTTTTCTACACCATATATTAAACAAAATTGGAGAAAATAACAATGTATCTTTTATTAGTTAAAATCAGCCGATAATGTTTCTATTCCACTGTATAAGTGGAACTCTTATTAAGAAAAATATTATATATATAGTGAATAATCAGTCTATCAAATAGAATAAATGGGGGTCGGCACACTCCCAGTTTGGAGATAAACAGACAGGAAGAAGCACAGGTAGGCTGAGCATTATACTGCTGTGGACAAGGGCAGAAGCAAAACTCTTGTTAGCCACCCAAGCCATTTTTTCTACACTCTCTCGCCCAAGCAACCACACTACATCAACAAAAACTGAATGTTTTACTTTCTAAAAACAGGTTTCTGGTCTATTGTCGCTGCCTCGCTGAGTTTTTGTGTGACTTTGGTGACACCCACTTTGTTTTTTTTTAAGCAGGTTTCCTTTTAGGTATCATAAATGTTGTTGCTACAGTACCACCGTCCACAGAAGTACATTGCTTTGCTTCGATGCGGTCTCTCCTGTCTGGTTCACGAAACTTGAGGCATGCCTACCGGTAGTACACTGTTAATGGATATTCAATCAGAGTTCAAACAATCAGAACTATTCCTTTAAATACATATCCATACGGTATGCAAATTCCAGCTACCGGTGTCTGAATGGCTAGTATGGACCTTTATTATTTGTGTGTAAGATACCTTCTAGGGCCAGACGCAGTTAGAGTTTGGGATATTTGCCTCATCTGGGAAAGGGTTCTTTGTCTCTGTGCCCCCCCAAATAACCCTCCACCACCCTCTCCCCATCTCACTTCTGTCTCTGAGTTCTACATGCTTGAGTTCACAGGATGACAGCCTCTCTGGGCCGGGCTGAAGCTCAGACGGGCCCAGAATGCACTGCTGCGCACACCACATATTCACACAGAAAAAAAAAATATACGTACTACAAACAAACAAACAGTAAAGCGCTTCCATACCGCCTCCCACCGGCACTCCAATACGTGAGCAAGAAAAGGCTTTTGTTCGAGATGATTGCTTGCCCACTTACTCCAAGTGCAAGGTTGTCTAAAACCACTCAAGAGCCTGTGGACCCACAGCACGTTGCTTTTTAATTTGACAAATAGGCGTAACGCCAGTGTTTCATAGCCCAACGCCTGCCCACACACTGTCAATATCTACACCAAAAAGAAATTAGGCTTTTTGCTTTCTCTCTCCCTCTCTCTGTGATCGTTTATGCCCTACAGCCTCAAACTTTTACTCCAATTACTGTATCAATTCTACATTTACTCCACTGGTTCCAATTAGCAGCTCTGGCTCTGGTGTGGATGTGCCAAAATAACTAATTTGTGATGTGGATTTGGGGGGGAAAGTGTATTCACGTCACCGAATTAGCTCCTGTAAACCACACAAACACTCACTGTACCCTAACACTCTGTTTATGACTGTGTGTTGTCCCCTCCAGCCAGTGACAGCAGGGTGGTGTCCTGTGCGGCAGTTTGGAGGATGCCCTGCGATTGGGAGACAGGAAGCAATGATTCACCTGACGACTCCGCCCACAACCCCCAGACCTTGGAGCTGCTCTGTCACCTAGACGACAGCCCCCATGGCAACGCTGCCTGGTAGGTGTTGCTGGGGAACAGCCGCACTCACAGTACCAGTGATGCTAGCGCAATTATTCTTTCGATCCTTTGTTGTATTTGTGGACTACAGGTGGCCTAATTACCTAAACACAGACGCCTGGGGCACCTTGACAGCCCTTTGTGAGAAAGGATTTAGATTTGGCTACTGGAATATCAAGCTATATGTTATATATTATTCTATATTAGTCCAGATCATTGTGGCGTTAGCTGAATAAAATGAGCAGTATTGGTGGTCAATATATATTCTTATGGAACTTTAAAATAAATGTCATGGTGTTCTTACGCAGCACATGAGTGGTAAGGTCAAGAGGATGGAAAGCTCATAGGTTTTAAGATGTTTGCTATCGCCAATAGTTATATTGCAATATTGGGGCATTTCTTTTTTAAATATCATATTATCTGTCTCTATCTTCCAGGGCTGATTCCTATATGATTAGTTATTTATTTATGGTTTCACAATCAAATGACCATTAAACCATTATAAGGAAAAATATGTATCCATATATCTAGCGATACCGCCAACCACCAAACCTAGCCAATAAGGTTCTTTCAAAAAAGATCATCATAACATAATGTGAAAATGTAAGGATAATCATGAAATGAACTAGCATAGCAATGTCTACTTGCAACCCCTCGAAACTTGTGCATGTTTTCATTTATTCCTGAATTATGGACAGATGGTGGACAACTCCTTCTGAAACTGAAATAGCCCACACTCTCCACACTTTTAGATTCCATTCCTTTCCTTGCGTTTCCTTTCCTGGCTTTGCCTATCCTTTCCTCTCCTTTCCTCTCCTATCCTTTCCTCTCCTCTCCCTACCTCTTTCCCTGTTACCCTAATTTACAAGAGTGTTTTTACTTTTTGGGCTCAGACTATTGACTGGCCCACATCTCAGCTTTTAGTCTCGGCCCGATCCTTTTGTCTTACAGTGGGAGCTCCTGTGCACAATGCCCTGCCATAGCTCGAGCCTATAAGAATGAAAATCAATGGTCATTCCCCTTTTTAGTCCACCGTTCATCAGCTGCCTCATGATTACTATCATTTTTAGAGGCGCCGATCAGTTAGCGCCATGCATTCTGTAGCAGCTGTCTGCGCGGGAGAGATAAAGATGGAGAAGGAGTGAGGAAGATGGAGAGAGGGAAAGATGGAGAGGAGCTCACAAAGAAGAGCACAAAAGAGAAGAAGATATATTGCATTTGTGCAACTTGTGCTTGTGTGTGTGTGGAAGGAGGAGGAGGAGGGGTTTGGATGAGCAGGGGTGCGCCCATGTGTGTGTATGTACTGTATATATGCGGCTGTGTCAGAGGGCAGGTCAGGCAAGGCTGCTGGGTAAAGATTGATGGCTGTGGGCTCCACCAACTTAACAGCGTGAGAGCTGTAACCCTCACAAGGGCACCAAACTGTGTGTGTGTGTGTGTGTGTGTGTGTGTGTGTGTGTGTGTGTGTGTGTGTGTGTGTGTGTGTGTGTGTGTGTGCGCGCGCGCGCGCGCATTCAGTGCTGTGAAGCCTGTATTCTATGCTGTTGGATGGATGGCTTTGGTCTGCTGCCCACCTCCTCCATCTCTCTGTGACACACACGGGCACACACACACACACACACACACACACACACACACACACACACACACACACACACACACGCGCGAGCGCACACGCACACGCACACGCACACACAAACACTCAAACATACACACAAGGAGAAATGCAGCTCCTCG